ATACCCTTTTGGGCCTGCAAGAGGTGACGCCCAGTAATTTCATGAGACTCAAAAACATCATCTGCATTCAAATTAAACAACAATCAAACACCATTTGTAAAATGATAAAAAATAATAATATATTCATTAGAATTGGAGAAATAAAAATTACTTGAAATATGAGTGGAAGAAGAGGCAAATCCAGCAAGAAGGAAGAAGAAAAAGAGATGCGAGAACCTTTGATTCAAACCCATTTTGGAGACCGAGAAATCGATCCCCTTCTTCTCCTCCAATGCAGTCTCTGTTCCTCCTCTTTTCCTTTCTGGTCTTGTTTTTTTCTGTTCTTTTTTTAGCAAAGGTAGGGAAGAAAATGTTGCGAAAATGGTGGGTGAAAACTTGTCTACTTTTGGGAAAGAAAGAAGCAACAACCAGTTGCAAATGTAATGCATGGTTGGCTGTAAATTCTTAGGTTTTTTGGTATTTGTTCTTTGAAAAAAAAAGTGCAGTCCATTCTGCACAAGGTGCAGCTCACAACCATTGATGGAGCAAGCAACCTCTCTAATAGTAAGAGTCCATTTCTACATTAATGATTAAAAGTAATACAACTTGCATAGCAAGTTGTACTCTAGCATTTTGTTTATTCTTCGTTAACCATTACAATTTACTCACAATTCAATTCCTTCCGTCTTTAATATGTTTCTATTGTCCTCCAATGCAGAGATGTCGCAATTCATGTTTTTTGAGCAATTGAAAATAAAGCACGGTGATAATTTCCTTATTTTGGAAACTAGATATTCAAAGATAAATACCGATTTGCCGTAATTTTCAGATGGAGAGTTCTGTGAAATCTATGGATTCTACCATTTACCCTTTACAGTCTTCCTCATCATTTTAAGGCAGACAGATTGTTTCTACAGGTGTTTCAGATGTCAAACCCGGATGATGTCTTAAAGTGCATTAAAGCAGAATCAATATTCCTGGGAAGAAAAAACCCAGGAAGGATGACTTTGCTAACAAGGTCACGAATGTTAACCGTATCGAAGTTCTGGATGACAAAGTAGGCTGTCAGAACCGTTGTCCAGATGGTCCTGCTGGTCACTGCAATGTTGGTTCTCAGTTAGTGGTTAAAATCCCCCTTGAAGCCACAAAAGAAACATGTAGAGACAAAGAAATCAACGGGATGTTAATGTGAGAAAAAGTTCAAGGATTGGTCTAAAAATGGACAAGAAATGGGTGCCAAACTATCAACAAAAACTGGATTTTACTGGCTGAGACAATAACTGCACAGCTTAAACTGAAACCAGATCTGCATGTTCCACGCATTTATCTGGGGCTAAACTAACAATTGGACACCACACTCATGAAAATCACTCAATTGTTGAAGCATTTGAAGTGACCAAATTACAATATTCCAGATAGAAGACTGTACATAACAACTGTATGTACAAGGTCCATACCTAGATTGATGGAGTGGCCTTGATCCCTTACCATGAGCTCATTGGTCCCATCAACAGATGTTACTACTGTATCTAACTCTACGAGTGATGGACCTGCCCATCCGAAGGCGGCGAGCAGTTAGTGCTTCAAGTAGAACAACTAAGGCATTCTCCAATGCTTCAGCTTGCTTATCCAATCCAAAGGAGCTATATTCTGGAAGAAACTGTAGCTCATCAAGGAGGCCAATGGCTGCAGCTGCCGTACATGTGCGATCCCATGATGGTTGAGGTCTGCCCTAAAAAACCATTAAGATTACTACTTCCACTGAAAAATAAGTGAGGCATGGAAAGTGCCAGCCCTCTCAAGAGATGACAGCCATGTTCTACACCTTACCGAAGTTTATGCATTGCAGATGCACCTGTGGCAAGAGATATGCAAGGAAGGTCTTCTCCCCAAATCAACTTGGCTTGCTCCTACACATTCAATGATGTATTATTTAAAGTAAAATACCCAGTAGCTCCAACAAAATTCAACTGAATTAAGTTCTCAAATAGCAGATTAGAAAAATTCAAAAAAATATACATAATGATGCACAATATTGAGGTTCTATGATGCAAACATATAATGATGAAGTAACAAAATATAATATATTCACAATCCTAAATGGCATAAGTGTTTAATGATTAACATTAATGAAAGTTCAACCCAAAACTAAAAATGCAATATATCAATCAAAAGAAAGGGCAAGATTAAATGCTTCATGGTTGCTTCATGGTACCTTTAGACGCTTGAACATTGCTGCTGAATTGCTCCATGTGCCATCAATCAGAACAAAGTTAAAAATTCTATCTCCATTTGCCTGTGCAGAAAACCAAAATGAAAAATTCCCCATCCAGTTGATCTAATTTGAAGGTGGTAACAAAGCAAATAAATAGTTTTATGAAAGAAGCATCAAGCACACACAAATTAGATTCACTACACGTGGCAACAAGATTACTCTCTCATTTCTAGTTACTGTGGTGCTCAAATGCCAGCATAGTGAATGTTTACCATCTGGCTTACCCTAAATTATTAAGGTCAGGTTTGTTCGAAGTCGTTTTAGTGTTTCATTTAGATATCATACTAAATTCAGTCTTTCAGACAGGCACTGAAAGCAAACAATGCTCTCCACTGAATCATTCTTAGATTTACATACTTAGATTCTGCATCTTCTCTTGCTTACCTTCCTATGGATTTCAAAGTAGTCCTCATAGAATGGTACCCCTGCAGAAACCTAGAACCTGTTTTCCCTCTTTTCTTTGTTTTAGTGTCTTTCCCTGCTTTAGAATCAATGTGCTGAAACTTTATGAGACAAAATATTGAATATATCATATTGAAACTATGCTGATCAAGCAGTAACTTACAGCTCTAATTGGACAAAAAATTTATAATTGAATTTTGGAAATATTTTATATAATACAATTTTTATTTTTTATTTTTTATTTTTCAAAAATGGGGTGGCCAATTTCTAAAAAGTGACGCACTTTGAACTTTGGAATGTTAACCTATGCCCCATATTCTACCATCAATAGATTCAATTACAAATATTACCAAGTTAAGATGCAACGATTTGCAAATTCTTTGAAGAGAGATTTAAATATATCATTGCATTAACAGCATAGTACCTTCATTTGTGCACATTCTGAATCAGCTGAAGATTCACAACCAATGGTTTCCTGAACTGATTTTGGTGCTGTATTCTGGTTTGGATAAAGGCACCAAACACTGTCTTGTCCTGAAATTGCTCTAGATGCAATTACTTCTAGTAGGCAATATCTTTTTAATATATTTCCAGAATCAAAAGAAAATAATATTTGAGAAGTCTGAGCAAGCAAGGGATGCATAAGTAAGAGATAATAACCAGATCAATCAAATTATAGTGTTAAACATCCCATGAACTTTTACTTCAGTGCAAGACTTTGTAATCATTTCAATAGACACCATGAACTCTGTAAAAGTGGTTCGATGCCCAAGCTGAACAATGCTGTTAGCCAACAAACCAAACTTCATAGAAAGGACTTCAATTGATATACTTCTAGAGGAAAAAAAAAAAATTATGGACAACAATGAAAATTCATATTCAAGGACAAACAGTGTGATTTAATCCAGCTTAAAAGCAACAATAGCATGCACTGTGTAAATAGCTTTTCACACACCATTTGATATTAATTCCTCATTCATAATTACCGGAAAGATGCTATAAAATAGGCAAATTCAGGGGCGTTTACTAATATCAATATATCATTATGATTAAAGGATAAGAGGCGAAATGTAATTAAAAAAACTTAAATTGGTCTCATGCTAATGGACCAAAGGTACCTACACCTGCTCTTCAATGAGCTTTAAAACTTGGTAGATGACTGTTTTGTAAATTATGCAACCATTAGAATAAGGATGAAAGAACCTGCAAGCTTAAATGTGTTCCACATGATTTCCTCATCTTCAGCAATGCCATATAGGCATAAAGTTGCAGCTTGAACACCAAATACTTGCCATAACAACTTCCCTGTGTTGTTCTGCCGCAAAAAGTCCTGAAAATTTTGCAAGAAAACTTGATAAATAAAGATCTAAAACATGATACGATATGGATCAAGAGAATTGGTACATTGAATTATAATTAAAAAAAGCTAACCTTTGGATGCATATACAACCAAAACCGTATGCCATGCCATAGAGGGCTGGGCTTTAGTTTTGAGCACATGCAATCTTCTAGAGGTAGCCAACACTGCAGAGTGATTAAATCCCATCTTAAATGGATAAAAAATAACAATGAAGACCGTTGGAAGTTATTGTAAAGTAGTTCATTACTTCATTGTCCCTGCAACAAATCAGCCTTAGGTCTGAAAGTAATCATTTACCTTTTGGCATAGGTAGCCTTTGCTTCCAAGCAACCGACAAGCTATTTGTCGAGCAGAATAAAATTGGAATTTCTTTTCCGAATCACTCAAAGCCTGATATGTTGCTCTGTGTTTCTTGTCTTCCTGAATTCTGAAATCCCCCTGCCACAGTTAACAGCAATAAATTAAATAAGAAAATTTTTATCAGTAATTGTCAGATTCAGCTCAAGTGAAAAACTAATCAGTTAAAACACATAATACAGTAAAGCAATAACAGACAAGAAAATAATAATCCAAGCAGATCGCAGATAGATACTGCAGGAACTGAGAACCAAATACCAGACTGCTTGATTATTCATGAGAAGATTTATGTCAGTGCCTGTGTTTCCCAAATTGGAAATCCAAAATTCCTTATAGGTGGGTTTACATACATTTGGAAGCTTTCAGTGAATTAGATTCTGAGACAATTCTCTCATGCTCTTTAACAAAAAATCAGGATAAAAATAAGAACCACTACCATTCTCTGGATGATCCAAGAAAATGATAAGTCAGATTAGAAGATGGTTTCTTTCTCTCCTTTTTCCTTCCCCCAATTCCTCAAATATCAACATGCTCCACACAAGTGAGTTCAACATTCATGGATCAGTATAATGTCTAAATGGAGTTAAATGGCAATCTAGCAACCATCAAGCAGGCCTCAACTATATATGAAAAACACCTTACCATAGGAAACACATATCTAATATTCCTATGCTACAAACATGCTCTATCACTTAGTGAATGAACTTTTGTTTGAACATTAACCATTCCAAAATGCATAACTTACCTAGAAAAGACAAGAAACCAAATGAAAGCCCAAAGAACATTTCCAGAAATGGAACCAATAATTCCATACTAGTGTCACATTCTCCGATTACCTACAAAATTATACTTCTCTATGCACCGTAAAGTCCAAATAGTCATAACAAAATCAAAGGGACTTCTTTGCAAACATCATGCAACTACCCTCACAATCATTACCTACTTATTTCTAGAATCATGATACCTCTTCTATTTGAGGCATAAAAAATTCTGGGGAGAGACTAAATTGAACTGATCGCAACTTATAAATTGAGTTTTTCTTTAATAAAGCAACCAAACTACATAATACACAAATATTAAATTTTTACTTCTCTTTCTTCTCCTCCTCCCACTCAAATCCTCACAGAGCCAATTTTATCAGCAAAGTTCCCAGAATCAAAATCCCCAGAGCACAAAAATCAAAACAAAATACAAAATGAAACAAAAAGGTGGTACAGGAAATACAGAAGGGGGATAATATTTCGATGCTAAACCTTCAATTTGCCACCAAGACCACCAAATTTCATCTGGGCATCATTGTTTTTCTTCAAAAGCTTTAAATCCTCAACCAACTCGTTAACCATTGCCGGAACCGGCGAACCGCTGCCCCACCCTTGCCACTCCTGCAATGAGATACACCCATCACCAGTGCCATTGGTGCGAACTTCTTCTCTAGGAGCAGAACGAGAAGAAGAGTTCATTATAGAGCTGTGGCCGAGAAGACTTCTAAAGCGACAGTCGGCTTTGATGGCGAAGGGAGGAGGAGAGAATTTCTGCGTGAAGACCCTAACGGCGCAGAGCATGGTTTTTGGTGGGCCTTTTCCGGCTGCTACCTTTTTCCATTTTCCTTAGAAAAAAAATGTAATCGTAGTTTGGGCCTTGTTGGGAACTTCTTCGGAACAGAAAATACAACATTGTGTTGAATCGATGTGACCCAGTTGGCCCAAAAAAACGAAGAGTGGTAGCTGGTTATGAACAGACAGCAAATTATGGCCCACATACATTTTTAAATACTAATTATGTTTACTTTAACTATTAAAAATA